CTTAGTGAGATAACTTCAATTCATAATAGTTAAAGGATATCCCTATTAAATATTGATATAAATTATACTCTCAATCTCAGCTGTTTCTTTGTATAACATTTAGTTCATGCTTCCTTCTATGAATATGTGCTCAAAGAAATACAGAAGTTCTGTGCTCTCAACGAACATAACGTTCTCGGTTTTATTTAGCAAGTTGTAGGTAGGAGTCGTGCATAACCTTGCCGAGCATCACATGGCTTAAACCAGGCATTCCAGGTTTGACAACTCTGGGATGCAACTTAACCTAAAACAGTTATGAGAACCATTAGTGATAACACGACGACTGTTAGGACACCACATCGTTGCCAATACATCTCCTGAAATTCTGCTAGCTCTCAGGATACCGGGGCGGTCGGGTAGCCCAGTGGTTAAAGCGTTCGCTCGTCACGCCGAAGACCCGGGTTCGATTCCCGACATGGGTACAATGTGTGAAACCCATTTCTGGTGTCCCCCGCCGTGATATTGCTGGAATATTGCTAAAAGCGGCGTAAAACAATACTCACTCACTCACTCTCAGGATACCTCTCAGTTGGGTTTATCATTATGCAAACGGACTGATTGAATATTATATATGCTAAATTATGGATGCAACTGTTAAGGCAAGTGGTTATATTCCCAATTATGTTACTCGTGTTAAGTAAGCTTTTGGACTAGTGAATAACTCATGTTGATGTAGTCACACAAGCTATGGAATGTACACGATTTCTTTGAACAGGATACCTTAGGATAGTTAGGATACCAATAACATTACACAAACTGACTCTCAGTGATGACATATAACACCACCCCTAAAAAGTCTGACATTCTGCTGGTTCTTATTATGTCTATAACATTTGACTCCGAGTGATGACATATAACGACACCCCTTTATAAACTGACATTATACTAGACCTTGGGATACCTATATAGTATAACATCAGAGAAACTGATTCTCAGTGGTGACCTATAACGACACCCCAAACTATTTTCTTCGTCGGTTCAAATTTAAACGTGATGGGACGATTGTGATCTATCCATTATTATCTATTAAGTATGATTAATATACACGAATCAGAAAATAAGTATAGATGATTATTTAAAATACCGGCCAGTATCTGTCAGACAGCATGCTATCGTTCAACTTTCCTTGCAACATCAAGTTACTTCTACATTCTGAAAACGTCGATGATAATACATTTTCTTTCACATTTATATGAAAGTTCATTTGATTGTGAATGTGAAGTCGGCACTAAATACTTCACATTGTTGCCACAACGAAAGTATTATAATCTTTTCCCACATCTATTTAGAGGAGTGTTCATATCACAAGAAGTATTCAAGTGATGATATGAACCCTGCATCTTGCACTGTTTGCAAATGTTTGCTCATTTGAAAAAGGGAGTAATCAGAACGAATCCTCTAATAGCAAATAAAAGAGATCCACTGGATTCATGAACAACATTTGCAGAGCAGGGATAGATAATATTTTTTTTAAAGTTCCATAGCAGATCCTTATGCTGATGTTAAAATTAGCAAGAGGTAGATGTAAGGCAAATATTTACACGCTCTATTATACACAAACTAACACTGAGTTGCATTTTGGAGGGGTGTGTGAATGATGCAATTGTGTTGACAGTGACAAAATTATGTTGCAAAGTTTAGAGAGTTTATATTCCCAAACCAGTTCCTAGCCAAGTGATTTTATTGTAGCAAAATAGTTGGGGGTTTTAATTCAATGTAAGACAAAACTTCAGTCACAGCATTGCATTATCACACACGTAAAGGGATAAAAACTTATCATAGAATTAGCATTAATTTCGTCCTAAAATCGGAAGCAAAATTTACTCTCGGGTAATTTTCGGGCTTCAGGTTGAACTTTTCATACGTCAATCTATCTGAAACTAGGGTCAAGATGAGGTTAGTTGAATGTTTGGTTTAATTGTCACATAATAAGTATATGGGATATTGATGAAACATCTTGCAAAAATGTATTTTTTGTGACTTACAATTTCTTCTTTTTTATGACAGTCTGAAACATAATTGTAGTTTGCGGCATTTTCTGGGATAATTGTTTTTTCGATAAAATAAATGTACTTTCTTTTCTCATTAGAAGAAAATGTATTTTATTTGAGATATCCTGCTCGATATCTTTAATGTATACATATAAAGTAATAATGAAAAGGGATCCCTGTTTCATTCCTTAGCATCATGGTTAGGAAAAGTGATGTTAAAGGATCCCGTTGGCTAAAGAGTTTTAATTTTAAGATAAGGAGGATTTCCCCTGCATCAGTATTACTTGGTACTCTTGGTATATTGGTGACCCGTGAAGATTCCGGGGTAGAATTGGTCTTCAGCAACCCATACTTGCCGTAAAAGGCGACTATGCTTGTCGTAAAAGGCGACTAACGGGATCGGGTGGTCAGACTCGCTGACTTGGTTGATACATGTCATCGATCTCAATTGCGTGGATCGATGCTCATGATATTAATAACTGGATTGTCTGGTCCAGACTCGATTATTTACAGACCGCCGTCATATAGCTGGAATATTGCTCGGTGCGGCGTTGAACAACAAACCAAACCAACTGGTATATTGGTACTACCGGCGAGTGGTCCTTTTGCATGGAACAGGTCACATATATTATCTCTACTAAAGTTTCAAAGTGTCAACCCTTTGCGTACAGACAGTGTATGTATCTGTTGCATGCAATGATTTGCCTGCAACATTTGGGTTACGACCTTACTGCGTACTGATGTTCCTCAGACACTTTACATGGTGGCCACTGTTACTCAATGGGTAAAATATTGCTTAATGTTTTTTCATTAAAAACAAATGGAAAAGGTTACCGTTTATAAATATTTGGTAGTCCAAAAGATTTCGGGAGGTAGTCGAGGTATTCAACGTCGTTGGGTTTTTTTTATAATAAAGGTTCGCCACACACGTGAATTGTATTTAATACTGGACTATATTAGAATTATATTATAATAGAAGTAAATTAGTCTCCTAAAAACCTAACACGTAAAGACATCGTATGTATCTCTTGCATATGGATTACCCACTTAATGTGTGGTACTGTGCCTCATCACTTCAGATGGCGATAACTGTCTCTTCAAGACTAATGGATTAAACATTCCATGTATTAAGAGTAGATGGAAAAGAGTTACCGTTTGCATTGTTAATGGTGTTAAATATTTCGGAATGTAGTCGAGGTATTCAAAAATTATTTATGATAAAGCTTAGCAACACACTGTTGAATACTGGAATGTATAAATGGGTATAAGTAGAACCGGAAGTACCGGAAAAGCTTTCCCGTTCAGGTTTTCAGTCCAACCAGATCTCGCGTGATATGCTATGAAATGCGGTAACCTAGCAACATTGGTCTCAGTCAGCCATCTTTGTTCATTGTGAACGGAAATCTCTGATTATATCATACAGCTTTTGCGTTGCAAAGTACTGCGACTTTACTGATTTCAGGCACATTTATTTGCTCCTCTCTTGCTTTCCCTATGTTCTCGTCTGTCACAGGTATTTCCTTCCTTTCTTTAATTCACATTCGTTTTACTTGTCACGATGTCTCTTTGCTTTGCCTCGCCTTGTCTAGCCTTCACTTTGCCTTACTGTTTCCTTTTCCTCTTATTTCCTTAAGTCCACCTTCAATAAATGTAGATATACGCTGTGAATGAATGTCGACAATCTCAACTCTGTAACCTGACGTGCCCACTTGTACTACACTTCATGATGACTAAAACTAAAGTAATCGACACAACAGCACAAAACCGAGTCAACACAAAATAGCACAACACCGAATCTTTCGACATTTCCCTGTTGTATACATTACAACATTACACAATATATCATAGATGGCTGTCATTTATTTAAACTCTCTGGTTTTGGGCTCTAACCCCATTATGTTGAGAGACATCGCTTCAAAATTGTTGATTCCCATGAAAGAAATTGTGACTTGGATTCCTTCCTCTTCAGATACCTTTATATGATGCCACCTAATTTCTTTCAATGTTAGTGCAATAAGATACAAAATTGATGCAGTAGAAGATGAAAGCTACACTCCACATACATTCCTGTGGGATAGAATGTACTTACACAAGTCTCTATTTTTATGCACTGTTCACATTTTTTGTAATTGTTTGAGATGTGACCATGTCTTATGAGAGCGATATAGCCTATAAGAGTTTAATGGGAATTTTTACCCACTTCTCTTTGTCATATTGGACACCAAGGGTAATAGCTATAAAAGGGAAGGACAGTCTGATACTCATATGTATTGAGATAACTTTAATTCATGATAGCTAAAGGTTATCTGTGATTCAGAAACATATTGATATACATGGAAATGAGTCTGTCGTTGCAAACTTCTCTCTCTCTCTCAGCTATGTTTCTTTGTTTTGTATTTTATTTAGTTCATGCTTCGTCATGTGAATGTTGTGCTCAAAGAAATAAAGAAATTATGTGCTGGCAATGCATGTAACGTTCTTGGTTTTAGCTTGCAAGTTGTAGGTACGACTCATACACCCCCTTGCCGAGTATCACATGTTGTAAACAGGGTGTCACAGCCCAGAGATGCAACCTAACCTTGAACAGTTATTGGCCCCATTAGTGATAACAGAAGGACAATTACAACACCCCATATACAACAGATGAAATTATAGTAGCCCTTAGGACACCTTTTAATTGGGTTAACATTACATGAGCTGACTGGGGCTAGTGCAAATGTGTAGTACTGACAACTCCCCTGGTGTTGTTTTCAACAAATGAGGCCTCGGAATCATTTTAATCATGAATATAGCCCGAAAATAGGCTCAGTTGTGTTGGCATATTTTAGGGACACTGTACCAGGAAAGGTCAGATAAACAGAATAAATGTCGCTGTTGGTAAGATAAATGACCTGATATCATTATGGCTATTGTGAAATGATTGTGCTGAATTAGATCAGGGAAAACATTTATCATCAAATCTTCTCTAAAATGGGTGAAATCCACCAAATTTCATAATTGATGTGAAAGGCATATAGAGTTGTGTTTTAATATACGCCATGGGAGATTGTGGTTGAATAAAGTATTTCACACCTCCAACCAAAATTAGATATGCCACAGTCTAGAAACAAAATCAAAATCTGGCAGTAAGGTTAACTTAAAAAAATTTCAATTATTAAATATTTTACATAGCGATAAGTCAGAAAAAAATAAGAAAATAAAACAACAAAAATAATACAAAGTAACTACTAACTGTTTAAATAATTATTGATATATTACAATGTATGGCATTTATCAATTATTGACTTGTCAGTAACAGGCACGATTATTACAGGCTTCTGTGTTAAAGCTACATGTCTAATGACTGCTATGTCCTAAAAGAACCCACAATATACCACCATTCATTTGCTACATACCCTTCCATACAATAACCTTTATGTTTCATTGAAATATGGCCTCGTGGTTAAAGCGTCCGCTGACAGGCCGATGGAATAGGTTTGATTCCCGATATGGGCACAATTTGAAACTTTTATGTGGTTCAAATAATGCTACAATTGGCGTAAAAGCATAGTCACTTACTACGTACCGTTCTTCCTTACGTTCAGAGTTTACTGGTATTTTTGAAGCCGAAATCGGTAGGACCAACCAAAAGTTGTATCCTATTTTAGTCGATTTTGGGTGCGGAAAAGCATTTTCAATATACAATGGTTTCCCATAGGGGAAATTCTAAAGAGTCTTTGTACCCCGACGGTGTAGGTCGTTGCTCATAATATCAGTCACTGTTTGGCTGGTGCAGATTCGATTATTTATAGGCCGCCCCCATAAGCTGGCTTGCGGTGTAATTTCATTAAAATCAGATCTTAGTCCTCGCTACCGCTAAACAAAGCGGTAGCGAGAACTGAGGTCTGATTTTAATGAGATTGGCTTGCGGTGTTAAGCGACGAACATATGTAATAATTCTGACTGTAACACACTAGTTCCCATTATTTTAACATTCAGGCGGTCAAGCATATAAGCAAACCGGTGATCTACGATTACGCAACTTTGTGTGCTTGCGTGTCAAAATCCGTTATTCGAGGGTTCGAATTGTATCGTCACATCCCCATTTGATGACGAGTTACACCCAACTCACTCAACACATATCAATTTCGTTCACCAGTTCCTGTCTCTCTGCTTTCAGGATGGACCTCTCCTGGTGTTGGACCCCCGGTCCTCGCCGACGGAGTCTCCTTCAGCCTCCCGGACAAGTCACTGCCTGTGGATCTGAGCTTCCAGCTTGGCGTCTACCCAAGCAAACCACGCCATGTCTCAATCTACCGACACAAGCTGTGCGCCCTCAGTGACCGTGTGTCCCCCCGGGACCCTCGTCTGTTTCGACGCCCCATGAGTGATCGAGCGCCCCTGCTGTCCGAGTTCGGAGAAATGCCTAAGCCTGAACACGTTCAGGTACTGAATAAGCCGAATATAAAATAATGTAAGTTCAACTTGGATTGTTTACAGGGTGGTTAAAAGAGAAACTTGGAATGCATTTATATATATATATATTTGTCATTTGTTGCATTTACACATATCTGGCTAGAACAGTACGGACCTGTTAACCATTGCCTTTTTTTCTCTCTGCAGGTTTTCTCCGTCTCCATGAAGCAGGTTGCGGCTGCTCCTCTGCCGTCATCAGACGAGGAAGAAGAGGTTGTCTCCCCTAGAGCGATTGATGGATTCAGCTCAGAGCAGGTTGTCTCCCCTTCACGTCAGACTGAGGAAGCTTCAACTGATTCTCAGAACAAGGTAAAGTTACATGCTGACACTTTTGAAAACACCTTTGATGTCCATTTATCGGGGTCGAAGGGATTTATATGAAAACTTAAACTAAGATGTCAGGTCCTCAGACGTAAAGGTTCTTTAAAAAGTTGTTTTAAAGAGTCCAAAATTAATCCAATTATAATTGCAATTACACATCCTACATGTAAACCCATTATATCCAGAAAACACCCTTTCATATTAACCTGACGATCTGTTATTCATATTTTGAAAATAATGAAATGCAGTATAAATAGTATGTATTTGTGTATTGCATATATCATATGAACCTCAGGAAACATTCCTCTTGCATCTCGTTACAGACTGAAGTGAACCCTGCTACTGTGGCTCTGCCGTCATCAGACTCGGAGAGCAGCTCAGACTCCAGCTCAGACTCAGACTGGGATGATGCCTCATCATCTTCAAGCAGCACGTGCACCAGCAGCTCATGTGCCAAATGTAACGGTTCCGACAGCTCATCCGACAGCGGCTCTGACAGCTCATCAAACAGCTCCTCTAGCTCATCCAGCAGCTCCTCTGAGGACGAGGATTCCAGCAGTGAGGAAGACGATGTCTCGGACCAACCCACTCCAGAAGTGGATCATTCCTGTATCTTGGACCACAAGGTTAGTTAGCTTGGACCATCAGCTTTGTCGTCTTGGACCACAAAATTCAGAAAAGTTGGCCAAGATGGGGCACATTCTAAGGTGCAAAATAAACAAGCCCAAAATGTTTTTTAAAAAGGCACCTGAAATTCCTGGTTGTGAAATACATTTTTTTTTAAATCTGTAAATGTTAACCTGTGTAACATGTATCACATTATTGTAACCCCATTTTCATTGTCCTCCACACAACCTGACAATGCTCACTGTGGCCACTTATTGTATGTTTCAGTCTGGACCAAGTGCTGAGACATCTCCATGCTCCTCTGGATCCCCCACCACCTCTGCATATGGATCAAGCTCTGGATCAAGCTCTGGATCAAGCTCTGGATCAAGCTCTGGATCAGCTGCCAGCTCAAGTTGCAGCTCAGGATCATCCTCCAGTTCAGGATACGGCTCAGCTGCTCATGGATCGTCATCTTCCTGCCTGGAACAAACTCCCGGCACCTCCTCGGCTGTCACCTTTGACCCTGACCTTGAGAAGAGACTTACGATCACCAGATACGGTCCTCAGGTAGGTTGTTCTTGAAGACACAGCATTTATCATGTCTTTGTTATTTTTATATCTCAGACAAGATATTAAATATAAAGTAGGTAAAATGATTACTTGTTGGTCTTGGACTGTTTTCTGGACCCTGAAATGAGTATAAAAGGGTCTCAGGGACCGACTGAAAATACTGTAAACAAGTAGTCTTAAAGTGAAAAATAATTTACTGCCAATCTGGACACGTGGGATTTGCTGCAAATATGTTGTGAAAACACAGAATTGTGCGGTTCCTACTTTCATAGAGAATAGAAGCATTGACGGAAGAAAACATTTATCCCTGACAAAATTCCCAGAATTCTTGGCAGGATAACTTTGAAATGATATTGGCTTATTGATGACGAACGTTGATGATTTATGTGAAATCTGTTAAGTCACACGTCAACACAGTAGTATTATGAGTGTTTTACTACACAAATAAGTTAATATTGGCTAGGCCAAAAGCCGCATGACTCCGAAAACGCATGCCCACAGTTAAGCGCAAAATATTTTAACTGTGAATTTACACAGATTTATCAGTGGACATTTACAAGAAACTATATCATTCTTTTAAATGCTTTGGTATTTGCAAGAATCGATTTGATATCGTCAACTAAATAATTTTCAGTAAATGAATACTAAAATTATTTTGTTGAAGAGCATATCAAAATTGTGAATTTTGACGTTGCTGAAGTGTATCATTAGTTTCATCACAATCGTGATAACGGAATCTGGTTGTGAAACTGTTTCTCTGGGTAGCTTTTGCTGAAGAAGCACAAGAGGTCACAGTGTTCCTAAACTCGGGGAAAACATCCAGACACAAAGCCAGCTTTTATCTGTCATGTTTGGTGTTTTGTTATATGATTGTGTTGGGTGTCGTACTGTCTTCTCTCTCTCATGTAGTTGTTGTATTTGGGGTAAAAGGTAAAATTTGACTGTATCCGGGCATGTCTTCTGTGAGTAACATAATTGATATTCCTTGATTATTATGTTGCAGGCTCGAGGGCTCAGGGTTTGGTACAACGAGGATGAGGTAAATATCATACCATTTGAAAGTGAAATTTTGTAGTAATGAGTGAGTGAGTGTGGTTTATCGCCGCTTTTAGCAATTTCCAGCAATATCACGGCGGGGGACACCAGAAATGGGCTTCACACATTGTACCCATGTCGGGAATCGAACCGGGTCTTCGGCGTGACGAGAGAACGCTTTAACCACTGGGCTACCCGACCCCCCCAAAGTTTTGTAGTAACATCCGACGATAAAACTTAGAATTTAAATAGAGAGGTAGTGAAACCTCAAAATAAATTATCCATAGGTCATATTCGCCAGTATACATGAAAAACCCCAACTCAGTTCCTCAGTAACATGGGTGTTTCGCAGAGTTGATCACGTAAGCGTATCAGAAACCTATGATCGTAGTTTCGAATATCAGATTCGCCCAGACCCTTTTGTGGTTATAGGTTTGTCAGCATCATACCCCTGGGCTTTACCAAATTAGAAGACGTCTATCACGTACACCACCTCGGGCTCACTCCTCAGTTTCATTGTCTGCCATCTTTGTTCCAGAGTGATGACTCCAGCAGCGATTCAGACGACGAGGCCTTGCTTCCACCGCCCCCTGCCCCCGTACCCTACACTGGCAAGGGCAAGGGCAAGAGCACCAAGAGGAGAAAGGTTGATGACCTCGTCGAACCATTCAGCCGCCTAAGCATTGGCCCACCACGTCCACGTGCCTGCGCTCCCCGTCGCCTCATCAGGTGCTTCGGCAAGCTCAATATGACCGAGCCCCCCAAGATGGCGACCAAGAGGAAGGTAGGAAACTTAATTCATATCGACATTGCCCCATCGTGTAGAATTTAAGAGCTGTTGTCAGAATATATTTCTATTTCGCTACATATGATTTTGACATAGAATTGCGATAGGCATATTTGTAACTATCATATATCATAGTCAACGATCTTTACTGGCACGCTGTTTAGGGCCCCTGTAACCCATGTTAGTTGTAAGAGCCGATTAATGAGGATCGGGCTGTTACATTGAAGACCGATACCTTACGCTATCAACCGCTGGTAACCCTGGCTCAGTTTAACATGCTATCCTGATATAGCTGGGATGTTGCTTAAACCATTAATCAGTCTTTAGTGCTCTGAATAGTCACCATCTACATGACGGTATATAGTAGTACATTTTATAAAAGTAGTTTTTTAGTAAGTTTGTCCGAATACTTTCATTGATGAACGGCTGTCAATAGGTGTACTTGGTTCACGTCCTGGTGCCCATATCAATCTAGGCCCTGACATTATAATAAGTGTCCTTTAATAAATACAGTAAAATAATTAGCGTGCGGGTAATGCATTGGTTCAAAAGTATTTTGACTGCATTTTGGCAATATCACATCTTTTCCACCCGGTTACAATATGTCCGAAGTGACATGCTTGTCAGAGGCAACTAAATGGATCGGGTGGTAAGGCTTGGTTGCTCGCATATCAGTATACCCCAACAGCATCGGACTTTAGTCTCACTATCAATCATTGATTTGTCTGGTCCAAACTCCATTATTTAGCAGCCATTATATAGCTAGGGTAGTGTTGGGTATACCCTTCTTCGTTCAGTATTTGTTTAAACTGAATGAAGTCTTAGTCTTCTCAGTAGATACAGTATTCCGAGAGGTCATTGGTTATTGTAATAATGCCACGTATCTTCACAACTAATGTGAAGCTTTCCTCAAACGCATAGGTTATATGCAAGTACGTGTTTCTACGACACGTATCACTTCGGGTTTGCCTGCCGCATTGAGCTGCCATGCCTTGATTTAACTGAATATACTGATTATAGTGGCATCAAAATCACGACTCACTCACTAACTCGATTCTTGACAAGGGCAGTCACCCTGTATATTGTTTAATATGACAGGATCAGGAACAAAATATCAGGCTATGTAAGAGAAATGCGTTTCTATTGGTAAACCCAACAAAACATTCGCTATTGTAACAGCATGCCTTATAAAGATCAAGACGTACATAAGCATCTATATACGTCTTTGTTTAGATGAATATGGGGCTTTCTTCATCACATCAAGCTGATGTGATATAAATGAATTACTTACCCAAAGAGGCGTCAAACCAAACTCTATACGTTTATTCCCAGGCATGTTTCGACGAAGACTCGGAGCAGGAGTCGAGAAAGAGGAGGCGTGCTCTCCGCAAGGCGGAGCGACGTCGTTTTGCTGAGCTGGTCAGGGAGGTCTTCGGGGCCGACAGCGACGACGAGACTCCCCTGGAAACTCCGACGGAGACACCCAGGAAACGTCGGCGACCACTTAAGAGACGCCAGGCAGCCTCTGATGTGTCTAAGTCAGCACCAGCACCAGCACTGGCCGGGGCAAAGAAAGTCCGGGTGTAAAATAAAAACAAAACTATTTTGGACATTTTCGGACATAAGAAAATATAATAGTAGACTAAGACATAATATGTTCTAATGTAGATTTAGAAGTAAAATACTAATACTATTTTGGACATTTTCGAACATAAACAAATAGAACAATAGACTTGAAAGTAAAATGTTCTAACGTAGATATAAAAGGAACATATTTGATCAATACTTTGCAAAGACAAGGTAATAGGAATAAATATATTTTTCAAAAGATATGTAGTAACTAGATTTAAGATAATTTCTATACAGATATAGATTATATTGCGATTATATGTGTATATAATTTATTTTTTAAGTATTTAGTTCATTCCAAATTTATCATTATTCGCTATTAGGATCGAGGAATAAATAATTTATATTTTTAGATGTAATGTTATTACAAACATGTAATACAAATAAATCCAAACACGTGTATGTAAAGTATTGAAGCATCCTAGGTTTTAGGATGACCTATTTCATTAAATTTTATGAAATAAAAAAATCCATAGGTTAACAAAGAAACATGATATAGGTGTTTAGATTTAACATAAAGAAGGGTTGAGCAAGTTCAGGGTGTTTATCAAATGCATGTAAACTTCATCTGCAATTCAGTGCTAACATACATTTTAGTTGGTAATCCCTAAGAAGTCCAAGTCGAATAGGATTTAACTAAATTAAGTATAATTTCACACCAAAACTAAATGCTTAGAATTGGAATAATTTATCCTTTAAAAATGTTACCTTTTTTATGAGCCAGAAACTTCTTAATCAAAATCACACAGCTCATAATCTGTAACTTAAATGTGTTAATATTTCAATCACAGCACTAACTGTAACAAATTTTGTGTGTAGGGTTTCCCAACGAATGATATTATGATTAGAAACAACATACATTCTGCTTGTATTATCACCAAATCCCAACCAAATAAACGTAATCCAATTATAAAAATAAAACAATAACATTAATCTGTTAAGATATAAATGTAGGGTGATTTGATAAAGGAGGAACTGTAACATCTAAGTTTATTGTTTGCCAGTTTTAAATTAACAACATACAAAAGCTAGTTCTGTGATAGATATTTATTGTATCCTGAGAAGATATAATATTTATATTAAATACGGTTTACACATTTGTCATAATCATACTTTCATAATAATAACTATTTTGCTCAAATCTCATTAATGATATATACTAGTATTTATAAATTTATATATTTACAATTGTTAAACACTATACATAAATTGTTTCCGAATTTTTAATGTCCCAGGTGCTATTTTTTATATTTATATGTTTACTAAAACATAAATATATTTTACTTATACAGTATGTTATCAAATAAATAAGTATTGAACCATATTCACTGTGTTTGAGTCCTACTTCAATACCATTAATTTCATTATGTAAAGGATCGTTCCTACCCAATTGTTACCATTTGGTTCAGCAGCATATTCTTGGATTTCCATGGTTTGAATTGCGTCCTGTAGCCGCTGTTCATAGGTTCGAATCCCAGATTCGCCCCGATTATGATCTTTGGTCTGTCAGCTCCATAAGGGGTTTATGTGATTAACCAACTGGAAAGGCGTCACGATTTAAAACCATTTATTATACCCCCGTTTACGAAGTAAATCGGGGGTATATAGCGTTCCGTTCGTTCGTCCGTCCGTCCTTCCGTCCGAGCTTTTGTACGGCCCATATCTTTTTAACCATGCACCCTAGCTTCACCAAACTTGCTACACACATTTACCACAATGAGTACTTGTGCCTTATGCTAGTTTGAAGATTCTGAATTGTTTTATTTTTGCCGTTACCATGGAAACATTAGAAACTTAAACTTTTAGGGTGGGTGTTTTGTAGGGCCTATATCCTTTTAACTATGCACCCTAGCTTCACCAAACTTGCTACACACATTAACCACAATGAGTACTTGTGCCTTTTGCTAGTTTGAAGATTCTGAACTTTTTAATTTTTGCCGTTTCCACTGACACACTAAGAAACTTAAACTTTTAGGGCTGGTGTTTTGTACGGCCCATATCTTTTTAACTATGCACCCCAGCTTCACCAAACTTGCTACACACATTAACCACAATGAGTACTTGTGCCTTTTGCTAGTTTGAAGATTCTGAACTTTTTAATTTTTGCCGTTTCCATGGACTCATTAGAAACTTAAACTTTAAGGATTGGTGTTTTGTACGGCCCATATCTTTTTAACCATGCACCCTAGCTTCACCAAACTTTCTACACACATTAACCACCATGAGTACTTGTGCCTTTTGCTAGTTTGAAGATTCTGAACTTTTTAATTTTTGCCGTTTCCATGGACTCATTAGAAACTTAAACTTTTAGGATTGGTGTTTTGTACGGCCCATATCTTTTTAACCATGCACCCTAGCTTCACCAAACTTTCTACACACATTAACCACCATGAGTACTTGTGCCTTTTGCTAGTTTGAAGATTCTGAACTTTTTAATTTTTGCCGTTTCCATGGACTCATTAGAAACTTAAACTTTTAGTGTGGGTGTTTTGTACGGCCCATATCTTTTTAACCATGCACCCTAGCTTCACCAAACTTTCTACACACATTAACCACCATGAGTACTTGTGCCTTTTGCTAGTTTGAAGATTCTGAATTTTTTTTATCTTTGCCGTTTCCATGGAAACATTAAGAAACTTAAACTTTTAGGGTGGGTGTTTTGTACGGCCCATATCTTTTTAACCATGCACCCTAGCTTCACTAAAGTTTCTCCACACATTAACCACAATGAGTACTTGTGCCTTTTGCTAGTTTGAAGATTCTGAACTTTTTAATTTTTGCCGTTTCCATGGACACACTAAGAAACTTAAACTTTTAGGGCTGGTGTTTTGTACGGCCTATATCTTTTTAACTATGCACCCAAGCTTCACCAAAGTTTCTCCACACATTAACCACAATGAGTACTTGTGCCTTTTGCTAGTTTGAAGATTCTGATTTTTTTTTATTTTTGCCGTTTCCATGGAAACATTAGAAAATTTAACTTTTAGGGTGGGCGTTTTGTACGGCCTATATCTTTTTAACTATGCACCCTAGCTTCACCAAACTTGCTACACACATTTACCGCAATGAGTACTTGTGCCTTATGCTAGTTTGAAGATTCTGAATTGTTTTATTTTTGCCGTTACCATGGAAACATTAGAAACTTAAACTTTTAGGGTGGGTGTTTTGTAGGGCCTATATCCTTTTAACTATGCACTCTAGCTTCACCAAACTTGCTACACACATTAACCACAATGAGTACTTGTGCCTTTTGCTAGTTTGAAGATTCTGAACTTTTTAATTTTTGCCGTTTCCATGGACACACTAAGAAACTTAAACTTTTAGGGCTTGTGTTTTGTACGGCCTATATCTTTTTAACTATGCACCCCAGCTTCACCAAAGTTTCTCCACACATTAACCACAATGAGTACTTGTGCCTTTTGCTAGTTTGAAGATTCTGATTTTTTTTAATTTTTGCCGTTTCCATGGAAACATTAGAAAATTTAACTTTTAGGGTGGGCGTTTTGTACGGCCTATATCTTTTTAACTATGCACCCTAGCTTCACCAAACTTGCTACACACATTTACCACAATGAGTACTTGTGCCTTATGCTAGTTTGAAGATTCTGAATTGTTTTATTTTTGCCGTTACCATGGAAACATTAGAAACTTAAACGTTTAGGGTGGGTGTTTTGTAGGGCCTATATCCTTTTAACCATGCACCCTAGCTTCACCAAACTTGCTACACACATTAACCACAATGAGTACTTGTGCCTTTTGCTAGTTTGAAGATTCTGAACTTTTTAATTTTTGCCGTTTCCATGGACACACTAAGAAACTTTAACTTTTAGGGCTGGTGTTTTGTACGGCCTATATCTTTTTAACTATGCACCCCAGCTTCACCAAACTTGCTACACACATTAACCACAATGAGTACTTGTGCCTTTTGCTAGTTTGAAGATTCTGAACTTTTTAATTTTTGCCGTTTCCATGGACTCATTAGAAACTTAAACTTTTAGGGTGGGTGTTTTGTAGGGCCTATATCCTTTTAACTATGCACTCTAGCTTCACCAAACTTTCTACACACATTAAAGGGGAAGTGTACACGCAAAAATTACTTTCTTTCTTTTTCTAAACAAAACGCAATTTTAGAATTAGTTAGTATCTGTGTTTGAAAATATACACTCATTTTTTTCACAGTGAAAGTAGGAAGCTCACAATAGTGTGAAAATGATATGCCGTTATGAGGCCTTCGTTTTTCGAGCTAAACAGGCCTGAGTTATCCCCCTTAGATTATGACGTAATTGGTGCCAATTCAACTGGGTCCCTGTCTATTCTCAACGCAAAAGATATCAAGTACCAGTTTGCGGTAAAACAACATGGCCTACGACACACTCCGGCGCAGTGGTGACTCAGCATAACACTATGCTAGCTGGCATCTGAGACGCAAGAATCACACACCTGTACCTACACCACGTGAAGCGGCTCTAACAAAGCATGATGACGTCATAATGTTTATCAATTGGCACCAATGACGTCATATTGCAAGGGGCATAAGCCATGGTGTTTTTGTTATGGAAATAGAACACTTGGTAAATGTGAAAAATATAAATCGTTTTAATGCAAAACATATGTTGATTAATTGTGATATTTTTATATTTTTGTCTATGAAACTTCTAGGTTAACACTTTTATTGTGGAAAAAGTACAAGAAAATTAGGTTCATTTCCGTGTGAACTTGCCCTTTAACCACCATGAGTACTTGTGCCTTTTGCTAGTTTGAAGATTCTGAATTTTTTTTATCTTTGCCGTTTCCATGGAAACATTAGAAACGTAAACTTTTAGGGTGGGTGTTTTGTACGGCCCATATCTTTTTAACCATGCACCCTAGCTTCACTAAAGTTTCTCCACACATTAACCACAATGAGTACTTGTGCCTTATGCTAGTTTGAAGATTCTGAATTTTTTTATTTTGCCGTT